CATGCTTTCTAACTTTTTTTTCTCCTCCAGTATCCTCTGCTTTTTGTTTTGTTTTGTTTTTCGAGACAGGGTTGCTCTGTGTAGCCTTGGCTGTGTTGGACTCACTTTGTGGACCAGGCTGGCCTTGAACTCACAGTGATCTGCCTGTCTCTGCCTCCCTGAGTTCTGGGATTAAAGGCATGCACCACAATGCCCGGTTATTCCCTTTACTTTTTAAGGACTTTGTTTTTTCTCTCCTCATAAACAGGATTTGCTATTTGCTGCAAAGTTTCATTGATAAGATTTCCTTTTGTGTAGAAAAATAGATCCCAAGACTGCATACTGTCTTCTTTTGTTTGCCCCAAGATACCTAGTTCTAATTAAAATGCCTATGTTTAATTAAAATGCTTATTATTGTACAGCCTGTTCAGTTGGTCTGTGGTTGAAATAAACCGTTGATGAGAAGTAACACATCATATGCATTCTGGATAATGAATTCTGATTCCCAGTGTGCTGATCAAAATGTGAGGTGGTCCCTTCCAAACACGGAAAAAAAAAACTGAGAAAGCAGAGTACAGAATGTTAAGAGGATAGCCATATGACTGTCAGGAGAGAAATTTCTCAGTGAACTTCTGTTCCTTTGGAAGGAAGCTGAACTATTAGCTACATTATGATCCTTAAGTCTTTGGAATTGCAAAAAGTGTTAGAACAAGCATGATAGACTTGGGGGAGAAATTTCCTTTGTGGCCTGATTCTTTGCACATCCCCCATTGGCGTAATGGTGTTAGTAATCTCGCAATATTCTGAGTTTGTTACGAAGATTAAATGAGCTGATACTGAACAATGTACACTCACTAAGGCTCCTACATTACTAAGATTAGCACTGTATTACATTTCTCATTGTTTTGGTGACATTTCCCAAAGGGGAGAAATGTCCTTCTTGCTCTGGCAGAGGACCTGGGCAAGGTTCCCAATACCCACACAATGACTCACGACCATTGGTAGACCTAGTTCCAGGGGATCTGAAGCCTTCTTCTAGCCTGTCTGGCCTCCGCAGCACCAGTTGTACAGGGGGATACACAGACATACATGCAGGCAAAACACCCACAGACATAATAAAATAAATCAAATTAAATCAAAATTTTAAACGAGACTCTAACAAATTAGGACTTCTCTTTTACATTTGTTGATTTACTCACACACTTCCCTCTGTGATGTTGTTCCCTCTGAGCTGCTTCACTCATCTCACCATCTATCATCTAGAGATCCAACTCAGGTAATCAGGCCGGTCAGCGAAGCAGCTTTGCCCACTGAGCCATGTCACCAACCCTTAATTTGTTAATTTCTAAGACAAGCACTTTGGAGGGTACGCTGCCTGGTTCTTAACAGTACTGAGAGTGTATGGCTTGTGAAATTGAAGGCAGGTAGTTCATAGTTGTATACCATGTGATTGGGAAATAAAGTTAATCTGAGATATTCTTCAAATTAACCGAGACAGGGTAGTTATGAGAGTGGTGTGAAGAGATATTCATCCACTTATAGGAGTGTGTACTTGTGGGAAAGATAAAGAGAATTATGCTTTACAGGAGAGGGATGACATAGTGTTTTGTTTTGTTTTGCTTTCAAAGGAAAAACAAGGGTTCCACATTAGACATTGGGACTCTCCTTTCTTGGCCTGTCAGCAAGCTTTGTGGGTTCCATTTGTCCCTTGTAAGGGGAAGGACTGCATAGTGCCAGTCTCCTGCCTGTCCTAAAATAATTCCCCTCCTTTCAGTTCTAAAGCTTGGTGTCACGTTCCCACAGTGTTCTGCAAATATTGACCCTTCCTTTCACCTGAACTTTGGTCCTTTGCTTTATCTCTTAGCTTCTCCATATTATGTGGGTAGGATTCAGGTACTTCACCGCTTTTTTTCTTCCAGAAAACATTGGTAGTTATTTTGACCATCATTTTCAAATTTATACAAAGATGCCTCAACAGCAAGCCTGACAACCTGAGTTTAATCCTGGAAGTCATGTGTGGATGAATGACACTGACTCTTCCAAATTTTCTCCAACAGCATATATGTGCCATGGCAGACATAAATAAAATGAAAATGTGGTAAAAAAAAAAAAAAATTGCCAAAACACGTCTAACTTCATTCCGAAACAGAAATAATTGTAAACTTCGTCTTGCTTTAAAGGAGTTATTTGAGTTAGCCATTTTCAAAAACCCATAGCTTCAGAGAATTCGCTGGTGGTATGCATTTTCTTATTTTTTTTTAATTAAAGATAAGGAAACATTGTGAGCTAAATAAGCATCAGTCTATATGTACAGGAGCTAAAGGGCACAAACAGGAAGAGATGGGCACAGCTGTGGGCCACAGATTGACCTGGTCAGCACTTTCTTAATTGACGCTTACTAGAAGAATGAGTGCTGTTTATTCTTTTCAAATCGATTTTGTATTTTATTTTGAAAATTGAGTTACTCTTTGAAAAATTTATAATAATCATTTTTAAAAGTTACAAAGCAGGTACCCTGGATAAATGGAGAAAAAGACAATTTTTTAAAAGATCCATGACTTGGACTTCTTGAGGATTTATGTATTTTTTCTACCAAGATGTTGCCAATCATTTGAATTTAATTTTTTAATTACTTACATATGCCCATGGGTTTTTATTGGACAATTTAATTAAAAATAATGTCATTTAATAATATGACATATAATATTTTCCTTAAAAGGAAAATTTCAAGACGAGTGCAGGTAAGAAATAATATTTTTATAGAAGAAGAAAGTCTTAAATTCATACTTTTATGAAACATTGCCTGTAGCCATAGCATTAATGGAGTTTTATACTTTACAGCTGCAAAAATAATTACATGAGCATTATCTAAGCAACAATCTTTAATGTATTATGCTTTATTAGTTTTCTATCATACACTGTAAAAACAGCCCAAATAATATGATAAGTGGAAAGTACAGCTTGACTGATCTTAAACCTTTGATATTTCCATAAGATGTTTTACTGTTTATTGGCTTATTGGTGATATGATCTTAATTTATAAATAAGATAAAGTATGAGCAAGATTGTTTTAAATCTGCCGCTTGGAAAAATTGTATAGCATATTTGCTTTCATTTGAAAGATGTTTTCTTTCTGGTGTTTGAGGGTGTTAAAACATTTCAGGGTGCTATCTCAGATTAGTAATATGATCCAGTATGAGAGTTGTTGCCTATTAAGGCCAGTTAATTTCTATAAACTGTACATTTTGTTTATTTTACCTTCTTAACACCTGATAACAATATAGCTTATAAATGGTGAAAGCCTTCAAGCTGTTTATTTTTTTAATGAGGTAATGAAGACATCTTACTCCAACAAGATGTACTTTGTATCTGCGCTGTTTTAAGAGCGTATAGTATAAAGGTAACTATTCTCACAGTTTGGGCATAGTTCCTTTTCTTTCTCTTTTCATTATTTGTTCCAAAGATAGGAAGCAAGCCTGTCTTTGAAGCATTTCCTATGGGCTAACATGTTCTTGTCACACTAAAGTTGTTTCAGGATGCAGGATAAACCCAGTTTTGCGTGAGTCTCATGGATTACAAAGCTACATGAATGTGGTTAGCACAAATAAAAGGAAAGGAAAGAAATAAACTACTGGGAGACAGTTTATTTGAGGCTAGGAGAGCAAAATTTCAGGTTGATTTTATTTTGATTGATGGTTTCAGTATTAATTTTCAGTATCATAATGTTTCATCCATTAAAGCATTTTTTAAAAGCCACAGGGATGAAAATATATCCATTCTAATACACAACTTTAGTTTTAAAATTCAATTAAGTAGTTTTTAAAGATGAGCACTGTTCAGTCTAGATTTATGTAATTAACTTACAAATAAACATTTTAAGTGTTCCCTTAAGTTAGTTTATGAAGATAGTTCGTATCTCATTCCACACAGGGTGAAGGAAAATAAGTATGGGAAAGTTAAGCATTTATTTGACGTTGTGTTGATGAATATGTCTTCCTCCATGCTTTGTAGGTTAAAATGTGGGATATAAATAATGTCTTCAAGATTATCTAGCAAAGAACATGCTTGTGATTTAAGGCTTGTTGATGACAAGTAGTTTAGAATCTCTTGATATTATCAACGTATTGAGGACAATTTTCCTGTAGGAACTGTTTGTAGAGTACATTATTTGCTCAATTTCCCACATTTACCTCTACAGTCACTAAATAAATGATGCTGCTTATCTTATATTATGTTAATAATATATTCCTGTCCAGTTGAGATGACAGGAATAAATTGTTTATTCCCTTAAAATTTAAAGTTTACAATGTAAAAGAGATTAATGGTATATTTACTTCTAAATAGGTTTGTGGGGTTAGTAAAATACTGCCTAACAAAAATAACTGTGGGTGTAAATTATGATGCCATTGCTAATTATAATGCGTATTCTAATGTCTTCCAACCTCGTGACAATGAAAAAAAAAACACACTGATTTTGAAGTCATTGGCAAATATGTGTGGAGTTTTCATAGTGACTATATGTAAATTATATTAGTAATACAGTATTCTACGATAATTTAAGTGCCTACAAAATCAATGAACTGTATGCTTTGAAGTCTCTTCATTCATATTTTTGTTTGTGTGTATGTAATTGGTGTAATAGTAGCTAGAAAGCATTGTCCTGAAGTTTCCTGTAAGTAAAGGATTCCGTTCAGTTATAGTCATTAGCATATGGAAGAAAGCAGTGTAAGTGGTGGACAGAAGAGTCATGCAATTCAGATGAAATGCTAACTGTGAGGATAAGAAGCAGCAGAGTGCACAAGCTTGCTGGCCTGTGATGAGTATGAAATAATCCTTTCTGAGTACGCTTAAGTGACAAGCACCTTCTCTAAGCAGCAAATACTGGTAATAGGGGTTCTTGAAGCTGTGTTGAGATAGCTATTAATGGAAGTATAGTCTAATAAATGTCACTTTTGCTGACATGCAGAGATAAGGACTGTATATTTCATCATTGAGTTGATGATTTAATCTTTTTCCTACAGTACTACGGGATGACTTCAGACAAAACCCTTCAGATGTCATGGTGGCAGTAGGTGAGCCTGCAGTAATGGAATGCCAGCCTCCTCGGGGCCATCCAGAGCCCACTATCTCCTGGAAAAAGGATGGCTCACCCCTGGATGATAAAGATGAAAGAATCACTGTGAGTACTGAATCCAGAGGCAGAGAACATCTGCAGGGGAACTGTGTGCGTCATTACCCAAGCAAAAGAGGATATGGAAATCAGTTCTCGGCAATAAAGCCTTGCATTACCTTTCTTTCTCAGTTCTTCTTTTAAAAGAAATATATTTCAATTTTCCTTGTATAGATGTAAAAATAAGTGATGAAAATGCATGGTTTCTAGAGGTTAGTAAGAAAAAGAAAACATATTTCCAAATCTAAAGTGTAAGAGTTGATACTTCTATACAGACGTAATTATTGTGGTTACTTGAAGCTTAGATCATTTCCATGTATTTATAGTTCTGTGTATTTACAGTTAACGTTATTACAGAATTCATTTACATAAGATATTTCCAAGAGATCTCCTCAGTTGCTTCAAGAGTTTGCTGTAGCCCAATCTCCTTTTCAAATTTCTTTTCTCTTCCATGTAGTTTAGTATGGCCTCTGAAAAATACAATCTCACTCTTAATTAAGTAAGTTATGACTATACCTCATTACAAAATAAAACCCCATGATTGTAGGTTAGATTTTAATCCATCTTTCAGCGATGTGATGCATTGTCTTTTTTTATATCAGGGATGATTCTTTGTGGCTTTCTCCTATTTGTCCTATAAGTGTTCACAAAACACCTTAATCAAACTCTCCGTCAGTACTCATTCATGTTCTGACTGTGCCATTCTATGATTGTTAGGTCCTCCCTCTTATTTCCTTTCTTTCGTAAATGCTGATGTTGCCTGTTGTGAATATCTTGACCGGAGAAAGTATCTATGTAACGAAAAGACTACTGAAAATTTATTAAAGAAGTCATAACACATCATATGCATCTAAGAAATGATTGTCCTAGTCAAGCATTTATCAATAAGCAACCAATTTATCAATAAGTATGATAACTCAGCAGGAGAGAGGTAGAGCATAACCAGCTAGACTCATATTTAGGGAAGAAAATAAAACTTTTTTTTCTCAGCACTGATCTTACTTAAAATCAGTATGACTTAAAAAAACTCAAAGTTTTTCATAAGTCTGGAAATTGGAATAAGATAATTCTGCTTTATCAACTTTTAAGAAGCACTGAAAAGTCACAAAGTGAAAACTGTGTGACACATTTGCTTGAAGAAATGAAATCAAGAGCACAGGGAATAGACACTGAGAACAAACATTTCTGTGCTTGGTGATAATAATTCCTTTGGGTTTTATGTAGCATTAACATAAAAATATTTTACCCTTAAATCATATTCCCGATGACATTAGTACACACTCTCTATAGTTCCCTGCCTTAACAATTCAGACTGACTCAAATGGTTATTATCTTTAACTTTGTCAAGTTTCTTCTGAACACCCATTTTTATTTAATGCAAATTAAAGACAAAATTCTCAGTACCACAGTTGTAACATTAAGTAAATTATGCTGAGTACCCTGAACAAAAAACAACTACCTAACTGAATTGTGTAGTTTTCAAACTGTACAACATTATTTAAAAAATAATATAGGCAAAGGCAGAGAAGGATCCATTAGAGAGTAGAAATGTGTGTAACATTAAAAAGCTGATCATTAAATGTCTCGAAAAAAATATGGGGAGGAATAAGTAGAGAAATGTACAGATATTCAGGAAATGTGTATTTTGATCAGACAGAGCAGGTGATTCTAGATCCTAAGGTGGTATTCAACTGACATTTTCACTAAAGGAGCAAAGAAAAAATTAATATGGTTGACTAGAGTGAGCAAAGGAAAGTGACACAAAATATACTGTCTGTAAACAGCAAATGGCCTAGTTTGTAATACCTTACAGATAGTGCAGATATTTTATATATTCCTTTAGGTAAGGTTAGGAGTAGGTTGTTACTATGAGATCAGAAGGTATGAATGGTGGCCTTCTCAGAAGCAGGTAGATTAATTGGGAGTTTTGCAGTAATCCAGACATGAGATAAATAAATGGTAGGTTGAACCAGCCCATTAGGAGGAGATGTTGAGAGAAGTCATTAATCAATATATCCTGGATATATTGCAAAGCAGTACCCAAGATAATTTCAAATATCTTGGGAATCGGGGGCGGAGCCAAGATGGCGACTAGCACACACAGTTTCCGAGCTGTGGAAGAGAGAAAGTTCTGAGCTGATGTGTGGAAGAACTTCTGAAGCCAGGGAAACAACGGAGAGACTTTCTAAACAACAGGGAACATCGCAGGAGGTGAAAACCTTGGTCTCGGGTCACCCACGGACTTGATTGGGGAAGGTGAGAAACGATCCTTTGATCTCTCGGCACTCCCCTCCCCCAGACCTCCCTCCTCCTCGGCACAGGCACAGCCGACTCGCCTTCCTCAGCGCAGACCTAACTGCCTGGGGCCTGCAGCCACTGAGGCGGAGCCCCAAGCCCTTTATCGGCAAAGGCCAGCAGTACTGTGTCTCGGAGCCCCAGATTCGCGCGGCGGCTGCACCATCCTCCCAGGGCCCGAGTCTGCTAGACGCCATACTAGCTCCGCAGGTTCGCGATCACTGACGGTACGGCCCGCCCAATCCCACAGTGACAGAGAATACGCTATATACTCACCAAAACCAGACAAAAACGCCATACAAGCTAGACACACCAGGCGCTGGGCCTCCGAGGCTTGGAGAGCACAGTGGAGAGACCCCAGGACTTCCCAGAAAGCATCTGGACTAGCAACCCAGTCTCCAGTTACAGCGGGACTTTCTAACCTGGCGGCGGAGCAGCACTGAGCTGGCGGGGCACATCAGCCCTCCAGTTTAAGACTAACCAGGGCCAAACCAGAGAACAGAAAGGCTGATTACCCCGATTCCCACTGACGTGACCACCCTGAAATCTCCAGCTGCAGCAAGACCTCATAACCTGGCAGTGACAGCAGCACGGAACTCGCGGAGCACATCAAAGAAGCAGGGCCAAACCAGAGAACAGAGAGCCCAGATACGCCAATCTCTGCCAAGTGTCCTGCCTGTAAGTGAGTGCACCCTTGAGAATCTGCAGCTCCACTGATCCTGGGTTCTGCTAAAACAGAAGCCAGGCATCGAACCCCCTCCCACCCATATACCCACTTTGGGAAACAGAGGGGCACTTGGAACATTGAAGTTCCTGCTCTGTGGGTCTAATTGAGGAGTTAAGGCAGTTAATGCCAGAAATTGCGCTGCGATCATCACTAGCGCCTGCGACATATACATTGCAGAGCCCCTCCCACACACTCAAGGGTTCAACATTAGCCATCACTCTGTCCCTCGAGACACACACCCACACCCACTTACACACACACACACATATACACACACACGCACGCACGCTTGCATTTGCCTCTGTTTGCGCCTGCGTACTTTCCTCCCACAGGTACAGCTAGTCCTCAGCATACGCTAAGGACACGGGACCTCTCTCAACTTCCTGAAGAATTCTCCAGACTCGAGAGAGAGACAGTACCAGTCTGATTGGCAGAATCCAAAAACAAACAGGGAAGGTCTCAGACAAGCCAATGGCCAGGGGTAGGCGAAAGAACACTTCCAACATAAATCAGGACATCATGACTTCACCAGCAAACCCCAAAACCGATGGATACTCCAATTCATCAGAAGCACAGGAAAATGACCTTAAAGCCATGCTTGCTCAATTATTTGAGGCTTATAAGGAGGAAATGAACAAATCTTTCAAAGAGTTGGCCAGTCAATTGGAGATAAAGAAAGAAGAAATAGACAAAACCCTTAAAGAAACACAGGCAAACATAGCCAAACAAATAGAGGCACAAGTAGAGAAAAAATTAGTGGCATACAAAAAGGAAATGAACAAGGAAATAGAGTCCATCGTAGAGAGACAGGAATCCAAATTCAAACACATAAAAGAAATGGTGCAAGGCATGAAAACAGAATTAGAATCAATAAAGAAAACACAAAATGAGAAAACTCTTGAGCTGGAGAACTTGGAGAAAAGATCAGGAACCACAAAAGTAAGCATCACCAACAGAATACAAGAGATGGAAGAGAGAATTTCTGGAGCTGAAGACACACTTGCAGAAATTGATACTTCTCTCAAAGAAAAAGTAAAATCAGAAAAATTCCAATCACAAAATATCCAAGAAATCAAGGATGCTATGAAAAGACAAAATCTAAGAATAATAGGAATTGATGAAAAAGAAGACTCCAGGCTCCAAGGTCCAGAAAATATTTTCAAAAAAATCATAGAAGAAAATTTTCCCAACTTAAAGAAAGAGATGTCCATAAATATACAAGAGGCCTACAGAACACCAAATAGACTAGACCAGAAAAGAAACACATCACGTCACATCATAGTCAAAACACTAAATCTACAGAACAAAGAAAAGATATTAAAAGCAGCAAGGGAAAAAGGCCAAGTAACATATGAAGGTAGACCTATCAGAATCACACCAGACTTCTCATCAGAAACTATGAAAGCCAGAAGGGCCTGGGCAAGCATCATGGAGACTCTAAGAGATCACAAATGTCAACCGAGACTACTATACCCTGCAAAGCTTTCAATCAACATAGATGGAGAAAACAAAATATTCCATGACAAAACTAAATTTACGCAATATCTATACAGCAAACCAACCCTACAGAAGATACTAGAAGGAAAACTCCAATCCAACGAAAACGAATTCACCCAAGAAAACAGGGCATACAGATAACATCCCAACAAAAATGAAAAGAAAACAAGCAATGAAACAAGGTAAGATCATCGACTCCATTACAAAAGGA